AGTGTGGACCAGCCTGCTTTGGAGCAGAGATGGGGCCTGCCAGCAGAGAGAAGGCTGAAGCCATGTCGGTTCTGGGGGGATGCAGGGGAAGGAGCCTGGGGTGCCTTTCCATAACCCAGGCTTCATGCCAGGATGTGTGGCAACAGGAGGAGTGAGAACTGTTCACCAAGACCTGGTGCTGGCATCACTAACACTGAGTGGATCTCAGTAGATGTGGGAGACTTCTTTTGGTCCTGTGCATTGGGCTGAGTTTGGCTGCTTTCATAAAAGTCTGTGTTGTAGGGTGTTGTGTGTTGTTCTGTTAAGCTCAGTTGGGCTTGGTCGCCCAACGCCATGGCAGGCCAGGCAGAGTTGGCAGCACTGCTTACCAAACCTCAAGGACCATGACATCCGACTGGGATGCAGCAGTGACTTTGGACCTCGATTGCTCCACCAAAGCGAATGAGATGCTGCACAGAGATATCCACCAGCCAGACAGGGCTGCTAGGAGATCCCCTTCCTCCACCGCCCCCCTACCCAAGGCACTCTGGTGGCGGGGGCATGGTTACACCAGCCGAGGCTACAGTAAGAGCCGAGCTGCCTTCTCACCATCCATCTCTGATGCTTCCCTCTCCTCCCTAGCTGCCATGGTCCAGCTGTCCCAGGGATCCCACCCATCCAGAGACACACGCCCATCATCCCCACCACCACCACTGCTTTCCTGCAGCCATCCCTGCCTCCCACAGCATGCTCAATAGCCGATGCAGCATAGCAATGTTTTCCAGTGCTGTCCTGGGCCAGCTTTCCCCGACCACCACCCTCATCCCTCCACTCACAGCTCTGTCAGCCTCCCATGCACCCCACCATTTTGACGGGTGCCGGGTCTGTGTGTGTGTGTGCCTGTGTGTCATATATATTAGCGTCTGCTGGCCTCTTTGTATTCACACCAAGTGATGTACCATGAAAAACATATGTCCGAGTGAAATACTCTAATTAAAAAGCGTCAAGTGGTTTGTGGGAGACTGTTCTGCACTGCGCGGCTGTGGAGGTGTCTCCGTGGGGAAGGGTGGGCTTAAGGCTCCCAGGTCCTTGTTGGGAACAAGACTTCTCCTTGCAGAGTAGGATTCCTGGTGAGAGAAAGAGTATCCAGCAATGGGGAGCAAATCATCAGTGTGCCCAAACTGGAAATTAAGTGAAATCTTTTCTTTTTGGGTAAAAAATGCTGGAGCCTGGGGAGTCTCCATTGCTCACCCTCCAAGACAAGAGCTGGTTCCTCCACAAAGGCCAGTTTTGAGCTGAATCATTGGATGTAGGAAGTACTGGGTGAAAAGTTTGTATGTGGGAGTCAGACTACCAGCCACATGCTTAACGGCGTTGCCAGACCCTGCTAGCTGTGGAGCAGCAAAGATAGTAGCGGAGATGTGACAGGGAGAAAGGCATTGCAGAAGATCACAGGTCTAATTGGCCAGGCTCTGCCTGGACAAGGCTGCTGAGGATGAGGAAGGTGAGTATGGGGAGATATCACTGCGTAATGGCCAAGCAGCAGCTAGATACATGGATGAAGGCACAATGAGGTGGCTTTTCCCAATACATATTAAAAACAGGGGTTGGGGGACCACAGCCAAGTCCCTCACCTAGACACCAGGGGACAGGCTGAGGACCCCATGGTGCACACCACTCAACCCACACACTCTTCACCTCCTATTTTTGCTGCTCACATATCTCCACATGAATGGTACCCACAAAAAAATTATGACCCAGATGTGGATGCAGGGCATGGGGAGGGGGTTTCACACCATCAGTAGCATCCTATCCCCATGCTTCATAGATCTGGAGCTGCCCTACACCATTCCACTGTCCCCAAGGGGGCCAAATGCCTTTTTACATTTCTAGCCTCCAAAATAGTCCAAAATTGCAACTTGGAAAGGTTTGAGTGCTTCTCACCACAGCTAATTCTGAAGCCTCATGCTCCCCTGTCACAGTTCACTTGTGATAGCTTTATTTAGCAAAAACACTGAGCTGCATGAGGCTTATATATAAGAAAATGTCCATAGCCTGTCTATAGCCTACTCTTTTCTTCCCCTTTCCCAGTTTGCCAAAGTAAGAACAAAACAGGATAGGAGAGCTAAAATGTATTTAAAACAGCACTTGCAATTTACAGAAAAAGTGTTCTTATTATTTGTTCAAGTAGAAACTTATGGCTTAAACCTGGGAGATGCTCACATCTCCCTTGCAGAGCAGGGCATAGACCCCCTCCCCTCTGTATGCCAGCAGCCACTGGGAGAAATGGAAATCAGAATAAATCCCAGGGTGCAGCACAGGTATGCAGACCTTCCCAAGGGAAAGGCAAACAGGACACTTGGTGGGACCGGTTCACATGCAGCTCAATCCTTCTGAAGAAAAGTGGTGTGCTCCTGGTCATAGTCCCAGTAGCTACATGGCCAAGGCACGGAAAAGTCCTTCAACACCCGTGGGAAGATATGCCCTCACCCACAGCCAAGGGGAAGAGACTGTCCTGTTGGGGTCTATGGCAGGGCAAGGAAAAGAAAAACCTAATCTGCCCCTGCCTGCGTTCTAGAAAGGTGCAGACCTTAGTGACCCAGCCAGCAGCCCTTGACCATCACGGCAGAGCTAGTGTGCTATCTGGGATGGAGGAGACCTGCAAGGAGGGAGGGAGTGTGTGGAGAAGAAGCTAGCCTGACAGGAGAAACGTGGGCAGCTGAGAATGAGGACTGGAGGACACTCAGAGGTTTGCAGCATGTGTAAAACACAGCTGTGGAAACAGAGGGCAGGAAGGACTACAGGATGATTGCCCTGTGAGGTGCCAGTGGTCTCAGAGGTAAATGGTGGCTCCCACGTGGTTGCCACATCTCATCATGGCGCACAGCTTCTTCACGGCTGCAGCTCCATCTGTGCTCCCCTACACATCCCAGGCACGGGATGGCAAGAGAAACTGTAGGAGAGGAAGCTCGGTGCTCATCGTCAGCAAGGTCACGGAGGCAAACGGCTCCTCCTCACCAGGCGGATCTGAGCCCCCCTTGGCAGGCTGGTGTCTGCATCGCAGGAAAAGGGCAGCAGGGGAGGGTCTGGTCTCCGATCCTCATCGAGTTGACAGGTCCGCGTCCCCTCCCTGACCGTGTCAGACCATGACAGCCGGCATGTCGCTGAGCTCTGGAAAGGGAGACACACAGTGAGCTACCGGAACATCTGCGGTTGTTTTGCCAGCCGTTGTGAGCAAACGGAACCTGGCTGAAAACGCGTGCAGCCCAGGCTGGGTCATTTTGTCCGGAGGATAGCTCCATGGGTGCAGAAACCCGATGCATGGGAGGGTCCCCAGTCAATCCCACCCTGCCTTGCAGACCTGAGGGTGCTCAGCTCCTCTGGGCTCCCTTTTCACAGAACTGCAGAGTAATGCATATTGGAAGGGATGTCAGGAGGTCTCTGCCCCAACCTCTGCTTGATGCAGGACCAATTAGATAGGGTTGCTCAGGGCTTTGAACGTCTCTGAGGGTGGATATTCCCCACCTGTCTGGGCCCCTGTTCCAGTATCTGACCACCCTCACAGGGAAGATTTCTTTTTTTTCTCTTTATATCTAGTCAAAATCTCCAAGATTGCAGCTTGTGCTGTTGCCACTGCACATGCAAGAAACATTTGGCTCCATCGTCTCTACACCCGCCCATTAGATGGTTGAAGACAGTGATAAGATGCCCCTTGACCTTCCCTCCTACTGTGCAAA